TTTTTTTTTTTTTTTTTCTGGTACCGGGAATTGAACTCAAGATCTTGCGCTTGCCAGGCAAGTGCTTATTCTACTGAGCTATCTCCCTGGCCCCTTGTAGAGGTCTTTTACTTCCTTTGTTAGATTGATTCCTTGGGTATTTCTTTTTTTGGATGGTATTGTGAAAGGTGTTGTTGTCCTAATTTCTCTCTCAGTGACTTTGCTGTCCGTGTGTAGGTTGGCTATTAATTTTTGAGCATTAACTTTGTACACAGCTACACTGCGGGCCCTGCACCTGCCTAAGCTTGCCTAAGCAGGCGCTTTAGGCTGCTGAGCTACCTCGCCAGCCTGATGTTTGTTTTTTTTCTTTTTTTAAAAATCTATAAGTGTTTTGGGGCTACTCTATGTAGAGTAGCATGTCATCCATAATTAATGATAATTAAACTTCCTCCTTTCCTATCTTTTTCCATTTAGTTCTTTTTCTTGTCTAATTTCTCTGGCTAATGTTTCCAAGAACTATATTGTCATAGTGAGAGATGTTTGCAAGGAGAACAATATAATACAGGACACATTTTATAATATCAGTTTATAGGGATTCACCCAAACAATCATATACAAGAAGTGCAGGAAATCCGTCCACATAAAAAAGACCAAAGAATCCGTCTGAGGGCCTGGATCCTAATACCCTGCGTGAGTCCAGCTGAAACCCTCAGGCTTATGACAGTGCCTCCCACAAGTCCAGTTGGAGGCCTAGAGCCCGTGACAAAGCCTCATGCAGCCTGCCTCACGGATCCGCACTGGGAAGGCCCAAGGTCAGTGGTGGAAGCTACAAAGTCTGTGCCAGCCGGATGAAGGGTCTGTGCCAGCGGGCTGCGGGATCTGAAGTGGATCTGGGAAGCAACACTCAAGGTAAGAACCAGAGCCCCCCAAAGGTACCACAGCCATCCTCAACAGCAGTGAGGTCCCCAGCTCCCCTAGCAATGAGAAAAGCCGAGTTCCCATCAGAAAACCCAACGTAGCAAGCTTCTCCACGAGGCTGAGCAGTGCACCATCTTCCCCTCCAGAGCCAGGAAGTGATGCTCCAGAAGAGGACCAGAGCTCCCCCGCAGTGAACATTAGCCATTCTCAGCGGCAATGAGCTCTCAAGCTCCTCCTCTGACAAGAACAGCCAAGTTCATGACAAGGTCCTCCAGCAGAATAGCCCGAGAGAACCAGTGGCTTCCAACAGCCCCGACAGCTTCTCCAAACAACCTCCCTAACAGCATTTTAATAGCTTCTCCCATTCTCCCTTTTATGCTGCCAGCAACAATCCTCAGGTGGGCCTCCCACACCCAGCACCACACTAGTTCAGTTCAGCTGGGTTTAAAAAGTTGACACCACTTAGCTGTCCACTACATGTATTGATTAAGATTGATGACAGTTGACATCCTTGTCTTGTACCTGATTTTACAGTGAAAGCTTTTAGCTTTTGTTGATTTAGTGTTGGCGGCTGGTTTGTCATCGATGGTGTAATAGTTGATGCACAGATACGTTGTGTCAGCGTGAGAAATTCAGAAGCTCAACCAAGAGACTCAGCAGGCGGCCAGGGCCTTCGCTTTGTGAACACCCTGAGCCTGTGCCAGAGGAGGGCGTGGAGACTGTGTGGGTGTGAAGGGCTGACCCTACAGTGCAGAGCTGCATACAGTGCAAGGGAGAAAGAAAGGCTTACTCCCCACAACTTTTTGTTCTTGCTGCTTCTGCTGTCTTCTGCTGCCCTGAACTGTTGCCCTCGGGCTAGGCCACCCTGTCTTGGAGTGAGCTGATTATATACTGAAACCTGCACAAACTGTGAGCTAAATAAATTCTTCCTGCTTTACTGTGTGTTGGGCATTTTGTCTCAGCAGCAAGAGAAAAGTGACCAAGACAGATGGCTTTTATCAGATTGAGATGAAGACCATCTATTCCAATTTTTTGTAGTGTTTTATCACAAATGGGTGTTGAACTTTGTCAAATGCTTTTTCTGCATTTATTGAAATAATCATGTGGTTTTTATCCTTGGCTCTGTTAATTGGTGTGTTATATTTATTGATTTGCATATGTTGAACCAAACCTGCATACCTGGAATGAATCCCACTTGGTCATGGTGTATAATCTTCTTTGATGATATCTACATCCTGATTGCCAATATTTATAGAGGATTTTTTCATCTGTGACCATTAGGGAGATTGGCATGTAATTCCTCTTTGGTTGGGTCATTCTCTTGTTTTGGTATCAGGGTAACGCTCACTTACAGGAGTGCATTCGACCGTCTTGCTTCCTTTTCAGTTTCATTAAAGAATTTGAGAAGTAATGATGTTCAGTCTACTCTAAATTTCTTATAGGATTCAGCATAAGCCTTTCAGGGCCAGGATTTTTCTTTGTTGGTAAGGTGTTTTTTTTATTTTATTTTATTGAGAAACAAATAGTAATAAGACAGTTTCAAAACAGGATAGTACGACAGTTACAATAATTAATACATTGCATATTGTTGTCTTCGTAGTAGTTAATTCATAGTACAAATGCAGTCATGATATCCTGTCCAAACACTATTAGTACAAATCTTACTTCTCATTGAATTAAGAGAAAGTAGCTGTATATCTATTCTATTTCATATATACAGATACAAAATGGTCCTTCATTTATATCCCCCTTTTCACTTATTTTTGTCAGACATGGGTATTCCATGGCCATTTAAATATTGTAGGTGGGTGAATTCAGCAAAATAATCCAATATAGTCAAGTAGTCGTAGTGGGTTATCTGTAGGACTGTGCAGACCTCAAAAGTCATCGCTGAAATAGCTGGGCTCCCGACCTTGTTCCCTGCTCTAGCTGTGCTTCCTACCACCCTCTTTTTTTTTTCCATAATTTTATTGAGAAACAAATAGCAATGAGACCATTTCAAATCAAATTAGTAGGACAATTTCATTAATTAACACATTGCATACTGTCTTCCTACTGGTTATTTGTTGTACAAG